GACACGGGGGAGAGCTGAGCTTCCCAAGCCTGGCTTGCACCGCTCCTGGCTTTTAAAGCTGGTATCGGAGCTGGCACAGAGCAGGGGAATAAGCAGCAAGACATGAGAGCCGAGGCAGGAAAGCATTCAAGTTGCAGCGTGATCAGGAACACCTCGGCCCACCTGGCTGCTCTCCTACCCTCCACCCCACAGCACGCAACCCCTTCTCTCCCTCTTGCCATCCTCTGCGCCTCGCCTCCTTCCCCAGGGAGCTCAGGGGATGCCAGCAGAGATCTTCAGCAAAAGTCCTCAGGGTGCTGGGTGGGCTATGAACATCCTGCAGATGACCAGGACTCACCTTCCCACCATGGGGCGGGCAACGAGCGCCGTGCCACGGCACCGCGGGGCATCGCTATCGGCCGCTTTTCCCTCTGAGCCTCAACCCCCACCCTGCAACTCCAGGCTGCAGCAGGCTGGAGAAGAGAGAGTTGGAGCAGTGTCCGAAAGAGCTGGCGAGAGGAGGTCTGGGTGCACGGGGGGCTTTCCTCAGGCAGCACGATCCCCACGCTACGGGCGAAAGGGCAGCAGGGAGGGATCCCCCGCCCCCCCACCTCGAGATCTCGCTGTACCTGCCTGGGTCATGGGTGCTAACATGCAAACGCATCCCACGGATGTGGGCGTAGCTTGTTGCACACCAGTGGATGCTTCCCAGGAAAGGGAGAAAGGCAAAAGGAAGGAAAAAGCAGTTTCAGTGGATCTCCTTACCTTTCTTCACCTTCTTTTCCTCATCTCCTTCTCCCGCACCCAAGAGAGTGAAGATGATTCCCGTCTGGGAGTTGATACCCACGGCAGTCACCACCATCCTGCCGGAGCCCTCCATCACATGGGTACCTGGCACAGCAGGAAGGCCACGATGAGACAGGCCACGGTAAGACTGGCACGCCATTCCCATCTCCTCCCCAACACTGGGACACGGGAGCAGTCACTGCTCCATCATGGCACAAACCCAGCCCAGCCCTGCACTGTCCACGCGAGAGCTGCCCGGGATCCTCACCTGACAGCAGCATGGGGTCTTTATCCAGCGATTTCTTGACTTGGTCTGACTCCCCGGTCAGCGAGCTCTCATCTATTTTCAGGTCATTGCCCTGGATCAGGATCCCATCGGCTGGCAAGAGATCACCTAGGAGAGGAGCAAAGAGGGGGGTCAGCCCCAGCCCGGCCAGCCGCAGCTCATCCCTGCCTGCCCCGTCCCATGAGGAGGCTTTGTGCGTCACCAAAAGGACTCAAAATTCAGTCTCAGACCAAATCTAGAGGGAGGAGAAGCAACAGATGGGTATTAGGAGACAGATGGGTATTATAAGATGATATCAAATAGCTCCAAAATCTTCACTGCTGTATGAAAGCATTCGTTGTGAGGACGTTTGCTCAATCAGACGGTGCTTCCCCCATCTGGTTTTACTGAATCAACACCACATCCTTCCCAAAGCCTCCTGATACAGCCAAACTGTTACACGATCCCATCATCCACCCGCCGAGGAAGGGAAAAGCCCTATGTGAAAATGAACACCATGTTGGACCAATCTCCTTCCCGACAGGAATTGCATACCCCCTGGTAAAACAAGGAGCAGGACCTAGTGTAGCCCTTGGGCTACATCTCCTTGCCAAGATGATAAGATGATGTTCCTCCTTGCTAAGGAGATGTTCACCAACAAGGACATAGTTGTGAAAAGGAATCGCTTTTGAGACCAGCAGGTCGCTAAAGCAACCCAAAGCTGCGTGCCGGGCCTGGCTTAGCTCTGCCAGCCAGCTCCAGGCTAGCAAGCAGCAAGGGCAGTGGAGCATCTCCCATTGCTCCTGGCCACGGCACAGCGCAAAATGGAGTGCCTGGAGGAGCCGCGCTTCCCCTCAAGGCAAAAGGGCTGGCAAAGCAGAGAGGAGGAGCTGCCAAGGCTCCCAAAGCGCAGGGACAGACCCCAGCCTCCACTCACCGTACTTGATCTGCGCGATGTCTCCGACCACGATCTCGGCCACTGGGATCTGAATCACCTGCCCCTTACGGATGACCGTGAACTTCTGCTCCTGCTCGATGCGGCTCTGGAGGCCACGGAATTGCTTCTCCTTGCTCCAGTCATTGAAGGCGGTCACCAGCACCACGATGATCACCGAAAACAAGATAGCCGCCCCCTCGATCCAGCCAGCCTGCGACTCGCCCTCATCCTCCACGCCGCCCGTCGACTGGCCGCACACTGCAGACGGAGATGAAAACTCGTTTGCACAAGAAGACACTCGCTTTCCCCCGAGTAACACACGCAGAGCAGAGCCTGGAAGACAGTTACTCCTCCCTCCTCCTCCCTGAGCTGGTCCAAGGGCTTCCTCTGCTCTCAGGAGAGGGTTTTTATATCCCTAGAGGCATTTGGGTTTTTCCCCCCCTCTTTTTTTTTTTCCACTTTTCATTTTTGGCAGAGGTTGGGCTGAGAGAGCCAGGACAACTGGCTTCTATTTCCCGTTGCAGCACCCAGCCCTCCCTCCGCTGCGTGACCCTCGGGTGAGTCACCATCTCCCTGCATCTCCAGATCCCTGCCCCTGCTTGACTCCTCCAACGACACAGAGATCCAGGGCCGGGGGGGAGAAACCCGCCCAATGCCGTCGCTCCGCCACACGTGGGGTGTCACGGCTGGGAGGATCGTTCCCTGGTCGGGGGGAGGTACCAGGGGACAGCCAGCCTTGTCCCTCCATGCCCAAACCGAAAGAGAAGCCCCATGGGGCTTGGGAAGCCACCAGACCAGATGGACCCCTTGGTCTCTCTGAGCATCTTTTGGGGGAGCAGCGAGGAGCAGCTCTGAGCCACATGATGTGACAGCTGTGCCCAGACACATCCCTCAGCGCACGTCCCTGGACGTGGACGGGACCACGGCGAGGACCCCAAGGACGGGGAGAAGCCACCGCCTAAAGGGTGAGCATCTCCCTGCTCCATCTGCACCAGGCTGGAGGGACCCACCGGGTGACCTTCCGGAGACAGCGCCTGTCCCAAAGCCCTGCTCCCACACATCTGGGCACGGCAGCTCACGTGGGGCCCCCACCGAGCACCCCCCCACGCCGTGGGGACCCCGGGGACTCACGTTCATTGTCACCGCCCGGAGGGTGGTAGAAGGACAGGCCCAGGGAGATTATGGCTGCGATTTCCAAGATGATCAGCGTGACGTCCTGGAGTGCCTCCCACACTAACTGCAGGAACGTCTTGGCCTTTTTGGGAGGAATGAAGTTCTGGCTGCCGCCTCTTCTCCAGGTCGGTCGGGTTCCCGGACAGGCCTGGAGCGGGGAGAGACGGAGATGAGGGCAAACCCCACTGCTGCCCCCCACCAGCACCGGTGGGACCCCCATAAGGAGCAGCTCCAA